CCCAGACTGGATGTTTAAATCTGCGGGGTTCATATTTTCTGTCACTATTCCGCAACGGGTAAGTACTAAATAAATCTTATTCTGTATTCTAAACATGAGTGATAGGTTTGGTTTATAGGGCCTCCACTGAGGTTTAAAGGCCTAAAAACATAACATTTGAATTTCTTACATAAATGAGCTGGGGCACTTATATATGCAAAGATAGTTAAGAAACATACTTTGAAATAAATTGAAAATCATATTTTTATGCTTTTCTTAGCCCAATTTGAGTGAAAAGGTTTTAAACGCTTTTCATTTTGGTCATTTTTTTTACAATTTGAATAATTATTCTGGAAAAATGAAGTACGCAAATGATCTAAAATTTTGCATAAAGATTAGTGGTCTAAACCTACATCAAATGGTACATTTATGTAAAAAAAATATTTTCAGTCCCATCATGTCAAAAAACCTCAGTGGAGTCCCTTTAAGTAACAATGACACAAGTTTAGCTTAGTAAATGAAGAAGTTATCAAGGTTTTGCCGTACGATCGTCAGACTTGGTGTAAATTTCTCCATGACAATTGAGTGTAATGGTCAATTGTCTTTATTGCTGATTCAGAAATTAAGTGGAACAGTAGTCAGTCACATGCCGAGAAAAATAGGTTATTACTGGTAAGTTATTCAGTCACATTTATAGTTGAATAGACATAATAAAAATGAGCCGTGTCATGACAAAACCAAAATAATGGGTTTGCGACCAGCATGGATCCAGACCAGCGCAGTCTGATCAGGATCCATGCTGTTCGCTATCAGTTTCTCTACTTGTAATAGGGTTTGTAAGCGAACAGCATGGATCTTGATCAGACTGCGTGGATGCGCAGGCTGGTCTGGGTCCATGCTGGTGGCAAACCCATTATGTTGGTTTTGTCATGGCGCGGCTCAATTAAATAAAAGTTTGGGTTGCCTCGGGTAGCTGTTACTATGGCAGTTCTAAGCCATTTGACATGGCCATCTGTAATGCTATAGAAATCTTCATATAACCTATCAATGAGGTATACATTGAAAACACAATCATATACCGTAAATGTAACTCTTTTTATTTTCCTGCTTTCAAATCTATAACTTGTAATAAGTGTGTCAAAATTTCATTTATAAAATAGTATTTTATTATAAACTTCTCCTTTGAAATTTCATTTAAATTTTAGGACATATTTATAAAAACCAATCTTTTTCTTTATATTCTCAGGTGAAATATTTATCCCGTTTTACACTGGAAAGGTTGTTGATGGTATTGTGATAGACAAGTCTCAGAAAGAATTTACCCATGCCATTATGGTCATGGCACTTATATCAGTGGGCAGGTAAGATTATTGAATTACACAATAAATTTAACATTGTTTTGAATCGGGGCCTCAGTGGGGAAATTGGCCAAACTTGTTGATTCTCTGTCATTTTTATGCCCCCCTTCAAAGAAGAGGGGGTATATTGTTTTGCTAATGTCGGTCTGTCTGTCGGTCCGTCTGTCTGTCGGTAGACCACATGGTTTCCGCTGATTATCTTGAAAAGTATTTATCACAAAGTCTTCATATTTCACATAGTGATTGGTCATAACTAGTAGATGACCCCTATTGATTTTGGGGTCACTAGGTCAAAGGTCAAGGTCACAGGGACCTTAAATGTAAAAATGGTTTCCTCTGATTATCTTAAAAAGTATGTATCACAAAGTCTTCATATTTCACACAGTGATTGGTCATAAATAGTAGATGACCCCTATCGATTTTGGGGTCACTAGGTCAAAGGTCAAGGTCACAGGGGCCTTAAATGTCAAAATGGTTTCTGCTGCTTATCTTGAAAAGTTTGTATCATAAAGTCTTCATATTTCACATAGTGATTTGTCATAACTAGTGGATGACCCTTATTGATTTTGGGGTCTCTAGGTCAAAGGTCAAGGTCACAGGGACCTTAAATGTCAAATGGTTTCCGCTGATTATCTTGAAAAGTATGTATCACAAAGTCTTCATATTTCACACAGTGATTGGTCATAACTAGTAGATGACCCCTATTGATTTTGGGGTCACTGGGTCAAAGGTCAAGGTCACAGGGGCTTTAAATGTCAAAATGGTGTCCGCTGATTATCTTGAAAAGAATGTATTGCAAAGCCTTCATATTTCACATAGTGATTGGTCATCACTAGTAGATGACCCCTATTGATTTTGGGGCCACTAGGTCAAAGGTCAAGGTCACAGGGGCCTTAAATGTCAAAATGGTTTCCGCTGATTACCTTGAAAAGTTTGTATCATAAAGTCTTCATATTTCACATAGTGATTGGTCATAACTAGTGGATGACCCTTATTGATTTTGGGGTCTCTAGGTCAAAGGTCAAGGTCACAGGGACCTTAAATGTCAAATGGTTTCCGCTGATTATCTTGAAAAGTATGTATCACGAAGTCTTCATATTTCACACAGTGATTGGTCATCACTAGTAGATGACCCCTATTGACTTTGGGGTCACTAGGTTAAAGGTCAAGGTCACAGGGGCCTTAAATGTCAAAAGGGTTTCCGCTGATTATCTTGAAAAGTATTCATCACAAAGTCTTCATATTTCACCTAGTTATTGGTCATAAGTAATAGATGACCCTATTGATTTAGGGGTCATTAGGTCAAAGGTCAATGTCACATGGGTCTTAAATGTCAAAATGGTTTCCGTTGATTTTTCCATAATTGAACATTTCCATGTACCCATTTTTGGAAGTTTATGTAATAAAATTACCAATTATGTGAGTCAATGGCTAGAAAGGGGGGTATATGTGTCATTCGACATTCTTGTTGTATTTGCCTTATTGAATGAGGTGGTTTTATATCCTGTAATGTAAGTAAAATTCTTACATTTAAACCTTAATAACATGATAAAACTGAAAGGAATATACCTTTCCCATCAGTTAAAAGACAAAAGAGCAAGGGCTGCCTGCATCTCTATGCAGATTACTCATCTTATACTACTTATGTAATTTCAATGGAACTTTGCAGGATTGATCAGTAGCTCAACTTCTTGCGCATATTAAACAAGTTTTCCGGTTGAATGATTTTTGGCCAAGAGCTGAGTTATGGCCCTTGAATAAAAAATACTTTTTGCCCTGTTAATGGTTTTTGTGTCATCTGCTACACAGTAGCTGCAACATGCAATTGCCTATCATGAGGTGACACATGTGATCACTGATTACTCTCAAAAATTGGGCAAAACAGAGTTATGCTTGTTTTGATATTGAAATCCCTTAAACTTTTTATGGACTGTTCCAAATTCGAAGTGGGACAAATATATTGCTCAAATTCAGCATGTTAAAGGTTAAAGTAGTTTTCATATATGTATTGGTGGTCAATGGTTATTTACACCAATCTACATTTTGTATTTTTAAAAGATATCATGTCTTAAACTGCATTTTGATGACCCCCTTAAGTGGGATATTATTTTATCCTGCTACTGTCTATATCATCAGCTGGATAAAGCCTTGCCAGATAAACTTATCTATCTCCAATCATTACGTCACATGATGACATCACATGTTTAGCAGCAAAACAAAATTTCATATAGATGCTATTTTATCAGGGAAAAAGAAGATTGAAACCATTTTATTATTCTAAAAACATGATAAAAAGCAGGATAAATCAAATACATGGTTGATGTCGGGATGGAGAATGTTTATCTGGCTCGCTGCGAATGTGAATCTTGGCTTGCTAAAGCTCGCCAAGATACACTTTCTCGCTCACCGGATAAACCTTCTCCATCCCGACATCAACCATGTATTTTCTATATCTTGCCCTGGAATGCAGATAAGTCAGTTTGAAGGTGCGAAGTCCACTCTGTGTCTGTGGGATATCTTAAGAATAGTTACGCCAGCAGTTGCCAAACTTCTTTCAGATACATGTAAGCCTGTGGCCAATACAGGTATCTTCTTGTCTGGTTTCAAAATAGGTCCATATTGCAAGATTTCAGTCACAGCATCTGTGACTTAAAGACACAAAAGGTTGTGTGCATTATTCCACAGAATTGTTTTAATGAACAGTGATTCTCATTTTCGTAGAGTGATTTGTTGTATGTGGTCAATAGAACAATCGGGAAGTCTTTTGTTTTGGCTTTTGCATTTAGCCATCTTGCCCTGTCCTCTTTCAGGCTGTAATATGAGATGTTCAAGTTCTGACCATAGAGTTTCATAAAATATTATTGCCATTATGGGGCACCTGTGTTTTACAGACAGTCTGTTGTCTTAATTAATTTGAATAATTATTATAAAGTTTGTTTCAATATGTATAATATGTGTACTATGCATCCTCCTTTACATTTTGTACTACCCTCAAATCTGCAGTGTGGTTAATGAAAAATGTTCTTAATTTAGTTTGGAGAAACAAATATTATTTCTGTTAGGTAAAACAGATTTCAATTTCATTATTTTATAACTGTGTAACAGAGAAGCAAAAATATTGGTGAATTATTGTGTAATATTTTCAGTGCTGTCACGGCAGGTTTGAGGGGAGGCTGCTTATTTATAGCTAATAGAAGACTCAATCTGAGAGTTAGAAATGCACTGTTTTCTTCTATCCTGAAACAGGAAGTTGGATTTTTTGACAATATTCAAACAGGTTAGGGTAGTTTGAAGAATATTAGTGTAGATTAAGAATTGTGCATCTTTGTCTATTTTCTACAACTGGTCACTTTCTAAGTGAATATTTATCAATATTTATTTCAAAACCTACAGAAAGAGTTACTAAGAATATACAGTAAATTCTCGCTTTATGACCAATCCTTTATCACTGGCAAATCACTAATACAACCACCTTTTTCTGGTCTCGATTTTTTGCCTATATAAATCAATGGGCATAATTGTCTTTATTGCTCATGATGTCAAATGAACGTACAATGTACATGTGATTACACAATACATGTATATTGTCATGAAACAAAAGAAGTTTCTTTATCAGCACTGATGTAAAAGCTATAATATTCAAAGATGCATAATTCTGAAATGTTTGTTTGCACCTATTGACCATGTGCCAAGAGTTTCATTTAGTTTTGGATATAGAACAATGTATCAAATGAACAAAAAGTATTTTTCTATATATTTAAATTGGAAATTAATAATAGATTTGAAAGAAAGAGTAATTACAGTTTCTTAGATAAACTTATATTTGTAACCAAAAAATGGCACTCACTATTTATTTTGAAGAGTTGCATAGATTTTACGCTAAAACTAAATGAAACTCTTGGTCCCACTGTAAAAACTACAGTTCATGAAAATAACCATTTTCATCAAGCCCAGATGGGTTTTGGACCACTAAAACTTGGTGTGAGGATATACAGGTGGAGGTTACTATTTGATTGTTTCAGTGCACTAGCAGCTGGTATAAGAGGTGGTTGTTTTACTATAGCCTCAGATAGATTCAACATCCGAGTAAGGAAAACTCTGTTTACATCTCTGATGAAACAGGAAGTTGGATTTTTTGACAATATACAAACAGGTTTGAAGATATGAACATAAGACTCTTTTTTTTCTCTGTTTTAAGATGTTAGAAAAATGTGTTATTATCTTTATACCCCCAAAAACGAAGTTTGGGGGGGTATATAGGAGTCACCCGGTGGTCGGTTGGTCGGGCGGTCGGTCGGTCGGTCCAGACGTCCGTTGCATTTTCCTTGTCCGGACCATAACTTGAAGACTAATGGTTGGAATTCAATATAACTACATACAATGGTCAAGCACATTGAGAGGAAGTGCAGTGCACAAGAACCATAACTCTATCTTGACTAATTACAGAGTTACTGCCCTTTGTTACTTTTCCTTGTCCGGGGCATAACTTGAACACTACTGGTTGGAATTCAAAACAACTTCATACAATTGTCAAACACAATAAGGGGAAGTGTAGTGCACAAGAACCATAACTCTATCTAAAGTAATTAAAGAGTTATTGCCCTTTGTTACTTTTCCATTGCTTTCTTTTGTCGGACCATAACTTGAAAGACTAATGGTTGGAATTCAATATAACTACATACAATGGTCAAGCACATCGAGAGGAAGTGCAGTGCACAAGAACATAACTCTATCTTGACTAATTACAGAGTTTACTGCCCTTTGTTACTTTTCCTTGTCCGGGGCATAACTTGAAAATTACTGGTTGGAATTCAAAACAACTTCATACAATTGTCAAACACAGTAAGGGGAAGTGCAGTGCATAAGAACCATAACTCTATCTAAAGTATTTACAGAGTTATTGCCCTTTGTTACTTTTCCATTGCTTTCTTTTGTCCAGAATATAACTTGAAGAATAATTGTTGGAATTCATTATAAATTCATACAATGGTCAAGCACATTGAGAGGAAGTGCAGTGCACAAGAACCATAACTCCATCTTGACTAATTACAGAGTTACTGCCCTTTGTTACTTTTCCATTGCTTTTTTTTGTCCGGAGCATAACTTGAAGAGTAATGGTTGGAATTCAATATAACTTCATACAATGGTCAAGCACATTGAGAGGAAGTGCAGTGCACAAGAACCATAACTCCATCTTGACAAATTACAGAGTTATTGCCCTTTGTTACTTTTCCTTGTCCGGGGCATAACTTGAGCAAAACTACTGTTTGGAATTCAATACAACTTCATACAGTTGTCAAGGACATTAAAAGGAAGTGCAGTGCATAAGAGCCATAACTCCATTTTGACAAAATACAGAGTTACTGCCCTTTGATACTTTTCCTTGTCTGGAGCATAACTTAAAACGTACTGGTTGAAATTCAAAACAACTTCATACAATGGTCAAGCACATAAAGAGGAAGTGCAGTGCACAAGAACTATAACTCCATCTTCAGTATTTATAGAGTTATTGCCCTTTGTTCCTTTTCTTTGTCTTTCTGGACTTATTACAGAGTAATTCAATAAAACTTCATCAATGGCCAACCACATTGAAAGGAAATGCAATATACAAGAAACACAACTATCTTTAATTGCCCACAACCATAACTCTATATTTCAATTCTTTTACAAGATATTCTGTTACTGGTAACATCCTCATTTCCGAAGCAGTCTTGTGGGGGTATTAATCACATTTAGTGATAGTTCTAGTTTATGAAAGTTATAAAATAATCATGTTAAAAAACAGCACTTAACTTTCCTGTAAATATATTGATAATAACATGATATGTTTTAACAAATGTGAGAAATATAAAGAAAAATATGTTTATGCCTACTTACAGGTTGTCCAGTTATTGGTCGGAAATAGTTTTGATATAAAAGTCATTGTGACCTCAATCTTTGAACCCTTGACCCCAAAGTCAAAAGGTCATCTACTTGCTAAGACAAATGCACCTGAGAAATTTGAGAGGAAGAGGTCATGGGTTGTCAAGTTATTAGTCAGAAACTGATCTGATATAATAGGTTTGACCTAGTGACCCCAAAAAGATAAAGTGTGGATAATATTTTACGTGTATTAATTTTATGCATTTTAGGTGATATAACATCAAGATTGACCTCGGATACTACAACAATGAGTGACACTTTGGGCCTGAATGTGAACATTTTTCTACGTAGCCTGATCAAAGCCGCAGGCGTGCTCTTTTTTATGTTCAAGTTGTCATGGCGACTAACTATAGTTACTTTTATCGGCCTGCCTTGTATGCTAGCTGTGTCGAAGATTTATGGCGCTTATTACAAGGTAAGAAAAATTAAAATATAGGTATGCATGTGTGTATATTGGGTGGAAGTGATGATATGAGTCTGAATGAAGGTTGTGTAATGTGTGTTTTCTATAAAGATATATAAAGGGTAAAGTTATATGAACAATCTTATATATTTCCTTCCCATTCTCTTCATTTAAGAAGTAACGTTGCGGAAGGGATCATTCAGTGATGTGTTTATAGTAATTCCAAAAATATAAATTACATTGTCAAAGCATAACTGGTAAAGTATGTAAGTGTTGAGTTTGACACCTGCCATTGAATTACGATCCACTCCAAAGTTTTTTGTTATGTTTTTTAAAATGCGAATCTAGGGGTTATTGACTTAAAACTCGCCATATTTAACTCAGTTTTTTACAATATTACACAATTATATTGGGAAAAAAAAATAACAAAAAAAATGTTAAAACACATATGACATTACAGAAACTGTCAGAAGAGGTTCAGGACAGTCTGGCTAATGCAAACAATGTTGCTGAGGAGGCCTGTTCCACTATGCGAACAGTGCGAAGCTTTGCCAACGAGAATGGAGAAATTCAACGATATGCAGACAAGCTGGCAGTAACTTACAAACTGAACAAGAAACAGGCTGTAATGTACTCTGGTTTTGTTTGGTCAAACATGGTTAGTAATCTGTTCTCTAATTTGTTTGAATTTGGATGGGAGGAGGGGAGTTAGTGAGAAAAAATCTTACAGTTTAACTCCATGGAATATTTATTTTAGCATTTGGTGACTATATTTGTCTATTTTACAGTTACATGTATTTGAACTTTCACTAACAATATTTGTATATTATACAGTTATTTGAGCCTTTACTTACAATATCTGTATATCTTACAGTTATTTGAGCCTTTAATGACAAATGTGTATATTTTACAATTTATATGACCTCTGAAGAGAGGCATTATATAATCGCACCGTCTGTCTGTCCGTCTGTGAGTCCCCACTTCATTTGTTACTGTTACTTTGTCATACATTGAGGGATTTTGAAATAACTTGGCACAAATGTCTACCACATCAAGACGATGTGTCGCATCCAAGAACCACTTCCCTACCTCAAAGGTTAAGGTCACACTATCATTTTGAAAATTCACATTATGGCAATTAGAGTAAATAGGTACACAAATTCGTGTCTGGACTGTAACTTTGTCATGCATCGATTGATTTTGTTTAACTAAGAGTAAAATGTCTACCACATCAAGACCATGTGTCGCGTCTAAGAATTACGTCCCAACCTTAAAGGTGAAGGTCACACTACCATTTTAAAGTTCACTTTATCACAATTAAGAGTTTATAGGTAAACACAATCGTGTCCGGACTGTAACTTTGTCAAACATCGAAGGATTTTAAAATAACTAGGCATAAATAGACGACATGTCGCGACAAAGACCCATGTCCCTACCTTCAAGGTCAAGGTCATACTTATAGTTTGAAGGTACTCATTCTTGCGAGAAAAGTTGAATATACAACATTAATGTCTGGACTGTAAAATTTGGTCATGCATGGAAAAGGATTTTAAAAAATAACATTGTCACAAATGTTTCTACCAGCATCAAGACAATGTGTCGCGGCTTAAGGCTATCATGTCCATTGTCCATGGTCTCTACTGAAGACAACAATCCATGTCCGATGTAACTTTTCTATGCATTGAGGTATTTTGAAATAATTTGACAGAAATGTCTATCTCATAACAACATTTTGTCGCGTCCAGGAACCACATCCCTTCTTCAAAGGTCAAGCTCACACTTATATTTTGAAGGTTCATGCCATCACAATTAGAGATTACAGGTACAAGAATGCAAAGAACAATATTCAGCAATTAGTTACTTTTATTCTCTTTTCTATTCATAATACCTGCATGCTTTAAAAACCTTTTCGGGGGTATTTGTCACTTGGATGATAGCTCTTGTTTAAACTTCACTGTTCAATATTTGTATATTTTATAGTTATTTTATCCCTCATTGTCGATAGTTGTATATTTTACAGTTGTCTGAGCCCTCATTGACAATATTTGTATATTTTACAGTTATTTTAGCCCTCATTGTCAATATTTGTATATTTATCAGTTATTTTGCCCTCATTGACAATATTTGTATACTTGACAGTTATTTTAGCCATCATTGTCAATATTTTTATATTTGACAGTTATTTTGCCCTCATTGACAATATTTGTATATTTCACAGTTATTTTAGCCCTCATTGGCAATATTTGTATATTTCACAGTTATTTTAGCTCTCATTGTCAATATTTGTATATTTTACAGTTATTTTAGCCCTCATCGTCAATATTTGTATATTTTACAGTTATTTGAGCTCTCACTGACAGTATCTGTGTTGTATTATGGCGGACATCTCGTACTTAATGGGGATTTGACAGGAGGGACACTGATCTCCTTTATACTGTATCAGATACAGCTCGGGGATTGTGTTGATGTAAGTGTTGCCTTTTTATATGCCCGAAAGAATTTCGGGCATATTATGTTATACCCCCTGGCATCCGTCCGTCTGTCCGTCCGTCCGTTAGCAATTTGGTTTCCGGAGCATAACTTAAGTTCCATTTGGCCCACAGTATTCAAACTTCATAGGATTATTTTCCATATTGGGTAGAAGACCCCTGATTTAGGGGTCACAAGGTCAAGGTCACTATGACCTTAAAACTGAAAACAGTTTCCGGAGCATAACTTAAGTTCCATTTGGCCCACAGTGTTCAAACTTCATAAGATGATTGTCCATATTGGGTAGAAGACCCCTATTGATTTTGGGGTCACAAGGTCAAAGGTCAAGGTCACTATGACCTTAAAACTGAAAACAGTTTCCGGAGCATAACTTAAGTTCCATTTGGCCCACAGTGTTCAAACTTCATAGGATGATTGTCCATATTGGGTAAAAAAACCCTATTGATTTTGGGGTCACAAGGTCAGAGGTCATGGGCACTATGACCTTAAAACTGAAAACAGTTTCCGGAGCATAACTTAAGTTTCATTTGGCCCACAGTGTTCAAACTTCATAGAATGATTGTCCATATTGGGTTAAAGATCCCTATTGATTTTGGGGTCACTAGGTCAAAGGTCAAGGTCACTATTACTTAGAAATTGAAAACAGTTTCTTTAGCATTACTTAAGTTCCATTTGGCCCACAGTGTTCAAACTTCATAGGATGATTGTCCATATTAGGTAGAAGACTCCATTTGATTTTGGAGTCACAAGGTCAAAGGTCAAGGTCACTATGACCTTAAAACTGAAAACAGTTGTCGTAACATAACTTGAGTTTCATTTGGCCCACAGTGTTTAAACTTCATAGTATGATTGTCCATATTGGGTAGAAGACCCCTATTGATTTTGGGGTCAAAGGTCAAGGTCACTGTTACCTTAGAACTGAAAACAGTTTCCGGGGCATAACTTAAGTTCCATTTGGACCACAATATTGAAACTTCAAAGGAAGATTGTTTTGTGAAGGAGTTAATACTTTTTTTAATTCCCATGTCTTACAAATGCTTCATCTTTACTAAAAAAAAAATCACTTTCGGGCATATAATGCTCCGCCTAGCGGTGCTCTTGTTCTTGTATTTATACAACTGTCTGACAGGGTTCGCACAGGTCTTGAAAAGTGCTTGAAATCGATCTCTGTCTTGAAAAGTGCTTGAATTGAGGATATCCTTGAAAAAGTGCTTAAAAGGGCTTGATTTTGAAAAAAAATCCTTGAAAATCTCTGATTCTTGTAAAAAAAAAAGTGATCATCAGTTAACAAGGAAATTTAAATCATTTTTGTTCACAATGGAAAGGAAAACTTTGCCGAAAATTTTTATTTACCCATACTTGTATATGTTACCAATGTTTATGAGTATGGAATGAACAGAAAATGTGTTATACGTCAACGGTAAATGTATACATGTCTACAACTTCATCACTTTTTGCATTACCAGTTTTCAAAAGAAAAAACAAAAAGTAAACTTTGAAAATCATGGATAAAAAGTCTAATGTAAATGTAAATTCTTGCTCAAGTTGCTTCAAGATTATCCATCAGTTATCATATAAAGCTATGTTTGAAATGCCCATTGCAGAGTGCTGGCGGATATGCATAAAGATAATTGAAATAAATGGTATACAGTCTAACTTGCTCATGGGACCACGTGTATTAAGCGACTTTTGTCTTATGCAGCCACTTTCAATTCCCCCCGTTCATTTTCTCTCTATATCTTTAATGTATTAAGCGACTTTTGCTCAACGCGACCAACAACCGCTAATTAGTCAGCTAATTGAGATCAATCTTTTCATTAAACGACCACTTTAACATGTCAAGTAATTGTGTTTTTAGAGAATGCCGCCTTGTAATGTCACAAGTGTCAACAATCAAAACACAAAATATAAATGTGTGAAAAACTCTATTTGCCAAACCATTTTAGTGTATGCAAATAAAAGTATGTATTAATACGCGTGACGTGTATTATCCAATAATATCGATAAAACAATGCAACGCTCCCCCCCCCCCCCCCACTCAGATGGTGTATACGCTTAGCTGTTGATATTTAGACTGCATTGAATTGAACTTGAACTTGATGAGCAATTAAATTAATCGTTACAATCAGATGTAGTTTGTTTATTTCAAATGAAAAATGCACAACAGAAAAAAGCTTCACTTATCAGGGTTTTCGTGTTGGAGACAAGGAAATACAACAGAGAAGTTTAAAAATTCTGGAAAAATGTCAAACATGTACGTAATGGATCAAAACTGTTTTGTCAATAAATATCAGAAATGTATTTTTTTACATTAGCATCCCTATAGATTATCGGAGCATTCTAATTTTCAAACATTTATATAAATGAAGTTGAAAAACATTCCCACCACAAAAGAAAGATGTCATGTATAAATTTTGACTTTTTATCATGCTTTGTCTTAACCCATTACTTCATATACACGCCTTTTAACGCCTTTTTCACCCCCCCCCCTTTTTTGTTGTCTCAAATGATGAAAAAATGCCTTATTTAGGCCCCAAACACTTGTTTTTGTTTGAGAAATGTTGTTAAAAAAATTGACCTCTTTTTCGGCGCGGCCCCCCAACCAAAAGATACATCAGGGGGTTGCCAGAAGGGGGATGTGCCCCCTTCTGTTTTGGGGGGTTTGCAAGGGGGGCGGAGTCCCCCTCATCGCCAAGAAAATTTTGGACTTGTGAGAGGCTGTAAATGACCCCAGATTGATCATAAGGTAACGTGTAACCAACGCTGAAAAGCATTTGACTCTATCTCAATCCATTGATAAGTTGCAGCACTTTGAAATCAATTTTGATGGAAAAAATCAACGCAAAATAGTGATTTTTGGCAATTTTGAGATGTCCCCTCGTTGCCATGGTAACAGAAAATTTAAGTCTGAGCATGTTGTTGCAAGGACAATGGTCCAGTCAACATTTGTGCCAAGTTTGATTAGTGTTGCAGCAGTTTTTAAAGTATTATAGCAATTTGAACTTGTAACGGGAGACTTTTCAATGAAAACAGCCATTTTTCACAAAATGCTCATGAAGCAATGGGTTAAGAGACTGTTTCATTAAGCCACCGTTTTGTGTGTTTCCCTTGCGCGGTCGCTTAATACAAGTTTGACTGTACATTTATAGGAGATAGTGAATGTGCAATAAGTATAAGAGAAGCAATACATGAAAGTGAGGAATCACCCTGAAGTAAAATACAGGATAAATGACCGTGATAAGGTGCTTGAAGTGTACAATTTGCTTTTAGATAGAAATCTTTCCTTGACACTTCGATTGTTTGCAGGAACTCTATTGCAGGATGTGTCAAACTGTCCTTGAAAATGCAAAATTGGCCTTAAAAAAGTCCTTGAAAAGTGCTAAAAGTTAGCTGATAGATTTCTGTTTGAACCCTAGTCTAATGAATTGCCTGCTTAGGCTTCCATTTCATAAAATTGCCAGCTTGACAGTCTTTCAATTTCAGAACATTAATTTGCTGTTTTTAACGTCTTTCTTTATTGACTTTTATCATAGATATTTTGTGAAGTGGTGCTTTACCTGTTACCCTTGTACGGAAGTTGATGTTGATAGGGTGTCAGTGTCACAAAGGCTAAAAATAAATTTTTGACATAAGTTTGTTAAAGAAAAAGTCCTGCTATTATAATCGCTGCTGTGTTGTTGTGGTTGTCGTCATGCATAAACTTTAATAAAGCTCAAACATTTTAAGTTATTGACATAAAACTTGGAATCATAATGTAGAGAAATAGGTGGTAATAAAGATGTTTTGAAGTTAATTGATGCTATTTTTATAATCTATTATTAGAGTATGGGCTATGTATATACTGGATTGATGCAGGCAGCTGGAGCCTCCGAGAAGGTGTTTGAGTATATAGACAGGAAACCGAAGATTTGTCACCAAGGCAACATTGCACCAGATGATATTCAAGGTCACGTACAGTTCAAGGATGTCTGCTTTTCTTACCCGTCTAGACCTGATGTACCTGTTTTAAAGGTATTGCTTTGTGATACAGTGTCACTTTAAACTGTGAAGTTTTATGTTACTGACAAAAAATTTAAAAAAAATGGAATTAAATGCATAATTTCAGTCTTATGTGTTCTGTAATATTCTTTTCATCAGGTGCCATAGTTTGTTTCAATGTAATATTTATGTTACATTATTTGTTATATTACACACGTTTAAAGGGACTCCTCTGAGGTTTTTTGACATGATTGGATTGGAAATACTTTTTCAAGATTTTAATAACTTTAACTTTAGATCTACACTCAGATCATGTGTGCAAAATTTTACAACATTTGCCCAATTTTTTTCCAGAATAAACAGCCACCGGAAAATCTTTGCACCACCGGGATAGTGGCAAACTTCACTACCATTTATACTTGCCCTAAACACTCAAAAATCATTTCATCCGATAGATTTAATGTTAATTATTAATAATTGACTTCATTTAAAGCTTTTTGTATTTTTTTTCTTATCGAAAAATGTATTTTAAAAAATTTGTCCGGGCGGAATTTCATGTATTCCAACCGGAATTATGCTGTCCGGGCGGAATTATTTAAATTCCAATTGGAATTTATTCCAACATTATTATTTATTCCAACGGGAATTTCAATTTTTATGAAATTGTCGAAATACATAAACACATGCTTAATATGTATTTGTATGCATTTTCTTGTTGAAATAACGTCTATTTAAGCATTTTTCGGAAAATCCGATCGGATTTTTTTTCCATTAAATTTAACTGGAAAAAAATCCGATTGGAATAAAACCCAACTGGACATTAATCCAACTGGAGTTTTTTCCAATACTTTTTATTGGAAATAAATCCTATTGGAATTAATTCCAATTTAAAAGAAATGGAAATTAATCCAATTGGAAGGTAATATATATTAATATTTAAGGTAATTTTATGTAATTCACGGACAAAATAAAGACAAAAATATGGGCCGAAACGTGTTAGAGCCGATTTTTGCACGGGCCGATTTTGATGTTATACTAAACTGCTGACGAATGATGATATATATGATAATTTATATAAGAAACTGCTAACTAGTTTAAATAAAGAAGCGTTATCGTAAACTGCTGACAAGTTAGATAAAGAAGGAAAAACATTGAAGATGTCAATTAGGTGTCAACTAGCTATAAGTGTTATTCTAGGCGAGGTCGAAAGATGCTTGATAAGACGTATTTTCAAGATGACACTATTACAAATAATAAATATTGATATATAAATAATAATTGATATATTTCTCAATGTCTATTCTTAAATTATTTTATTTCAGTGTGGAAATGAAATGTCTTCTATGTGATATATATTGGATAAAATTTAGAAAATGTAGTCATAATATGGTGATCTTACATAAAAAACAATATCATAATATATATATATATATATTTTATGATATTCTTTTTTATGTAAGATCACCATATTGTATATATATATATATATATATTATATATATATATATATATATATATATATATATATATATATATATATATTTATATATATATATATATATACTATATTAGGGATGGCAACGAATACCAAAATCAATACTCGAGTACTCGGTTATTTTTCCGATCGAGTACTCGGTTACTCGGATGATTTTTAATGATCTTTAAAGTTTCATCACACAATATCAACACCGTCTGTATGCTACTTTCGTTTTCTATTTTAATTCATAGAATTCGTAACTATAAATATGACTGCAAGAAATATCAAAATATAAACAAATGAAATGTCAATGACAGCATTTCTTATATACCTATAAATCTTCTCCCTAAAATACAGGATGAACTTGATGGCAAATGCAGATACGCTTCAATTAACGGATAGAAATTGACAAAAACGGTACCATATATGGAAGTGCCGGACTATTTTTGACATTGGTTCCGATCAAAGCTTTGTATAAACGTAGCATTTAAAACGGGAACCAAAATTATAAAAGGCGTGACCGGTTTTGCAAAAATTACGTATTAATCCGAAGGTCATAAATTTACTTCTTGACAGCTACATTTCATTTTCTGAAATTTCTTATAGTGTAGTATAATGAAAATCATTTATAATTCAAACGAAAATGTATATAATAAAAAGAAAATTATAGTGTAGAAGCTTTCTGATTATATCAATTTTTCAACTGCTGCTCGTAGCGCAACATAATATTCCGTATATATTTACGTTTTTATAATTAACAAGTTTCGGCTACAAACTGTAAGAGGCCAAATGACGTAAACGACATGGGACAGGACTGTGTTCAATCCCATACGCGTGTCAAACTGCTGATCGTCTCGTTAAATTTACGATATCATTTTCACACCTCTGCAAGGATGTTTTGATTGCATTTAACAAGTATTTATATAGATACGTATACATTTCCGAATTTCTGAACTAATCTTTCTAAATCGCAAAAAAGTAGAAATTAAATATTTTTTCCGAGTAATCGATTATCAATTTTGTTAACCGATATTCGGAACGTTCGATCGAGTTACTCGGTTAACCGGTTATTCGTTGCCATCCCTAATATATATATATATATATATATATATATATATATATATATATATATATATATATGCATCATAGTTAAAATATATACATATATGGTAATGTATAGTATAACAATTTATCATGATCTTTTTCGTATTTTGTGCAAATCTGAATAAAATAGAATAAACAATAAGAGGATTTTATCTTTTTCATCAATTGTGATGAACCGGAAAATTAATTATTTAATGGAATAATTGCAAATTCTTTTAAACTATTTTGTTTATGTGTGTTCGCTATCCTTAATAAACTCTGACTGGAAAATGAATTACGCGTAAAACTTCATTGTTTTCTGTTCGCATCTACAAAATATACAATATCGAGATTGACTTGCCCCGAGGTCATAAAAATTTAAACAATTTTCGCAATTTGTCTATTATAATCGCAGATGCAGTCAGGTGGCAGCGGACAAAATACATAAACATAACAGTCCAAAATATTTTATTAAATAATGGAGTGAAATGCTGACCAGTTTGAGTGAGTGTGTGAGTGAGTGAGTGAGTTGGTGAGTGAGTGAGTGAGTTGGTGAGTGAGTGAGTGAGTGAGTGAGTGAGTGAGTGAGTGAGTGTGTGAGTGTGTGAGTGAGTGAGTGAGTGAGTGAGTGGGTGAGTGGGTGGGTGGGTGGGTGGGTGGGTGGGTGGAGTGAGTGAGTGAGTGAGTGAGTGAGTGAGTGAGTGAGTGAGTGAGTGAGTGAGTGAGTGAGTGAGTGAGTGAGTGAGTGAGTGAGTGAGTGAGTGAGTGAGTGAGTGAGTGAGTGAGTGAGTGAGTGAGTGAGTGAGTGAGTGAGTGAGTGAGTGAGTGAG